GTGTGTGTGTGTGTGTGTGTGTGTGTGTGTGTGTGTGTGTGTGTGTGTTTGCAGAGTAGCATCAGCATCATGAGCTTCCTGGGGAGAGGAACTGAAAGGCAAGCAGAGGGAACCGAAAGATGGACAGACTCACCTACCTCATAATTCTGAGGTGAATCTTCCTGACCCTCCCTTTCTCCCCAGCTGAAATAAACTGATCTGGTACACACAGGACTTCTCTCAGATACACTTCATTTGAACAAATAAAGCTTGCTCTGTGCCCCAAGAGAAAACTAAGATTCATTAGTCTCAGGAACTTTGAAACTAGATCTGTTAATTTTGTCAAATCCTGTGACAGACACTTCTTTTATTTGTACTTTATGGATTCCTTTTACAGATTATGTGTTATGTGTTTCTCAAGTGTACAACCCTCATTGGTCTGAAACTGTTGATGGTTCTCATTATTGTCTCTATATTGCAACCTAAACAAATTTGGGGGATAAGTAACCTCAGATGAATAGGGTAGAGACCAAAGTCAGAATCCCAACTAAAAAATCAGTGGTGATTGCTGAGCGCTCGAGTCTTGAAGTTATAGTTTGTGTTGATTATTAACACTTTAGAACTCAAGAGGGCAAGGAAGCAGCAGAAGGCAAAATCAGATTTGTAGCCATGGCTCTGCCAGGATGTAGTTCAATGATCCAAGTCAGAGATGGCTAGGTAATCAGTGGACACAGTTCAATGCTGAGAAGGATTCTGGGAATAAACTCAGACTGTAAAAGGGAGGATAGTCTCTGCTACCATATGGGGGACTGAGTGAAGGAGCTTGCTAGTCTGGGTTTTACTACTTTGATCTAATTCCAAACACCTGACCTTTCTGGGCCTCAGTTTCCACACCTGTAGAAGTGATACTTCATTCTCTGGTAGCTTCTAACTCTGCCATTCAAGCTCTGGCTCCACTCTCCAACATTCATTACCAAAGGCCTGGGAGTAAGATTGTGATCCATCTTAAGAGTTTATTTCAAGCTTGCTGTTAACTTATTATTCATTTTTCACTCTCCCTCTCTCTTACCATTTCCAGAATAACTGCCTCCTGGCCTGGATCTGGCCTCATTAGATTCCCCCCCACCCAGGTGCACCTCATTGTCATTTGCTACTGCAAATCCTATTTCATTTATTGCCACCCGTTTCACGAAGACGAGCTGATTAATATTAGTGCTTACCTTATAAATCCATCCTTTCTGGAATTTACTCCCCTGCTCAGCGTACGATCATTAGTGAATTTAATCAATGCAGACTCTCCGTTTTCATCAAGATGATTAATAAACATCGTAGGAAGTCCAAGCCCCTCAGGGACACTGTGCATGGCTCTTCCTCACCCCTGGAGGATGTAGTAATAATTATGCTCGGCTTGCAGTCTCTCAGGCAGTTTTGCTGCTGTGTTCATTTCCTTCAGACGCTCTTCCACTTCTCCTACCTCGCCTTATAAATGGCCCCTGGGAGTCCTCCTGGATTTTCACTACCAGGCTCAACTGAAATACCACCCCATGCCTTTGACAGTATGTTTACCCCATTATTTTAATTAAGGTAAGGAAATGGTAGCCTGAAGATAATAAATGACTCAATCATTGTCAAATAGCCAAGAAGTAATTATTAATGTATAATTTTCCCCAAATAAGTGCCATATGAACCAATTAGCAAATTAGAATAGTTTCACTAATTAACCCATTATAGCCCAAGGTTACTTCATGAAGAATGAGACACAGGAAATTGGATTGATGATGGGAGAGAGCTGGACTTGGGGGAGGTGGCTTTCATTCTGGTTGGCAAGGTTCTGGTCAGTCCAGCAAGCACAGGGGCTGTAGATGCAGTGAGCAGTAAATAAACTCTCTCTGTCTGCTTGAGATTTGCCTTGAGTCTGCCCTCTTGCCTTGGAATTTTCAGAGTATAGATTTTTTTCCTTCTTCCTTCCTTCCTTCCTTCCTTCCTTCCTTCCTTCCTTCCTTCCTTCCCTCCCTCCCTCCCCCCCTGTCTCTCTCTGTCTCTCTCTCTAACAAATAAACAACAGTAGCAGTTTTGTTTTCTCAGTCTTTCTTATCAACTGCCCTCCAGCAGCTGGCTTCTGCTTTAAGAGCTGAACTTCCCAATTTCAAGTTCTTTCTCCTCAAACTAGAAGTTCCGGATTGTTCTGTTCTGTTTTTATCTCTGCCATCTGTTTACTAAAAATCTTTGTGTCCTGGACCCTGGTCTCTGAAACTTACTGGTTTTTTCCACGTCTTCTTCTCTTTTCCACTCTGTGACCTTCTGATCCTAACTGTGGTGCAAGCAGTACTGCTCTATGGAAAAGGAGAGTGTTGGCTGCATTTATCTGTAGCTTTTCCTTGGTAAGAGGTTAGTTTGACAGTCACTGGACGCCCCCTTCATGTCAACAGTGGGTTTGCTTCACCCTCACTGAAGACTGTATCTGCCAGTCTGGACCTGGTATTACTAGAAGTCTGTGAAAATGTGTGTTATCCCAAAGCTTTCTTCAGAATTAAGATGGATGCACTTATGGGGAACAGAACAAGTCAGCCACACCAGTTTTCACATCACTCAGTCAGCAGTGTGGTCACTGTCCACAGGGTGACAGCTGCTGTCTTTGGGACAAATCCCTCAGCAACAAAGACATGCTACTCATTGGAGGGTCCTAGCTTGCATTTTCCTGCTATATGTGAGTTGGTGTGTGTGCGATATGTATGGTGGTCAGAGCAAAGCAAAAACCAATGTGGCATGTATGAGTGTGTGCTGGATGGAGGGAAGACTTTTTGCTTTGGCTTGGTGTTTATCACAGAGGTGTGAAGCAATTTACCTCTACCTGAAGGTGTAGTCTCAAAAGCTGGGAGGAGAGGGGCGTTATGTTATAGCATTGAGCGCATTTCCTTCATGCTTTACAGCCTATCAGAGAACCTCAAGCTCTAGTTCTTGCCCCTTCTTTCTTCTGTGCCTGTAGGTTTCTCCCAGGCTCCTCTTCATCTGTCTGTCTCTTTGCCTTTCTCTGTCTCTCTCCTTTGTCCCAGCCCTTTCTTCTTAAATTCT